GTGTGTGTGTGTGTGTGTGTGTGTGTGTGTGTGTGTGTGTGTGTGTGATTTTTCAAGACAGGATTTCTCTGTGTAGCCCTGGCTGTCCTGGAACCTGCTCTGTAGACCAGGCTGCCTTTGAACTCAGATCCTCCTGCCTCTGCCTCTCAAGTGCTGGCATTACATGTGTGCACCACCACTGTCCAGCTTCACAACTATTTTTAATTATGGTTCAGAGGATATGCTACCCTTTTCTGGCCTGCACGCAAGTGCACCCAGACATACATGCAGGCAAAGCACCTATACACATCAAAATAAAAATTGAAAAAAGATTCGCTGGCCCCATAATGTATTTGAGTTATCATTCCCTTAAAGCAGAATGGTACCTTGTTGATGTCTTCACCTGTCAATGGACATCTAGGTTGTTTCCGATGTTTAACTATTGTAGATGTGTCTGTTAACCTGGCTATAAAAGGAGCTGAGTCCTTGCTTTTAAGTCTTGTAATTTTGGGGCTGCAGACATAGCTCATTGGTTGAGAGCATTACTGCTTTTGTAGAGGACCCAGGTTCTGTTCTAAACACCTACATGGCTGCTCACAAGTGTTCTTAACTCCAGTTCCAGGAGACCCAGTGCCCTCTGCGGCCTCCACAGGTAGCCACACACATAATGACACAATTCTTTAAACTTTTTTGAGGAACTGACATGTCTTCTGATGGCTGTGTCATTTTATATCTCCCCCAGTAATTCACGAGGGTTCTGATTGGTTTAACATTCTGACGTTTCTGTTGTAAACCTAGCCTTTAGTGGCTGAACCATCTCGCCAGCCTCAGAAACTGCATTAAGAAAAAAAAAAGTCAGGCATGGTGGCACATGCCTGTGACGCCAGCATTGGGGAGGTGCAAACATGCAGATTCCTGGCTTGCTGACCTGCCAGTCTAGCCTGCTTTGTGAGTTCCAGGCCATTGAGAGACCCTGCCTTTAAAAAAGTTTTTGTCAGGCGTGGTAGCACAGGCCTTTAATCCCAGCACTCGGGAGGCAAAAGCAGGCAGATCTCTGAAAGTTCAAGGCCAGCCTGGTGTACAGAAGGAGTTCCAAAACAGCCAGGGCTATTAATGAGAGAAGCCCTATCTCAAAAACCATGCATGGATGCATGGATGGCTCTTGAGAAGGAAACCTGAGGTTGACCATACACACAAACATGCATGCATATACACACAAAAATTATACATATATGTGTGTATGCTTATCTTTAAAATATTTTCAAGCTGGGCAGTGTTGGCACATGCCTTTAATCCCAGCGTTCAGAAGGCAGAGGCAGGTGGATCTCTGAGTTCAAGGTCAGCCTGATCTAGAAAGCAAGTTCAGGACTGCCAAGACTAGACAGAGAGAAATGCTATCTCAAAAAACAAAACATTTTCAGAAAACATTTTGTACACATGTTTGTATTGAGAGCATCTGAAAGATGTCCATCACCACATGTGATCAGCTGCCAGAGCAGCTCCTCCCCGAAAGTCTGAGCTTTCGCCTTTAGTCTTATATTTGAAAAGACGATTAATTTATTCTGTGTTGGGGGGGGTGCTTTGCCTGCATGTGCGTGCATCATACAGAAGAGGGTGTTGTAGGCAGGGAGCTAGAATTACAGCCATGTGGGTGCTGGGAACCTGACCTGGGGCCTCTGGAAGAACAGTCAGTGCTGTTAACTCTGAGCCACCTCTTCAGCCTCCAGATTTCATGTTTTTTGAAGCTGGCATTTCCAGTGATTATTCACTATTTCCAAAATCTATGGCTGAGCTCTCTTCTGTTGGAATTAGAATCTTATCTTTCTCCTGGTGCTGGGATGGGGCCTTGCACATGCTCAGCAAGTGCTCTCCCACACAGCCACATTCCCAGCCTCTGGGGTCAGAGTTGGATATGACCAGCAACAGCAGGGGAGGTGAGCTCTGGCTGCTCTGACACTCAGGAACGTGGGTGACACTTCCGTGCTGCACTAAGAGCACCATGAGGTTGCAGCCTTGTGTGTTTTCAAAGGTGTTTGACCAGAGTGCACTGTCCACGGAAGCCAAGGAAGAAATGTACAAACTGTACCCTAATGCCCGGAGAGCTCACCTTAAGACCGGAGGCAATTTCCCCTACCTGTGCAGGAGTGCCGAGGTCAATCTCTACGTGCAGGTAAGTGCAGCCTGCAATCCAGAGCACGAGGGTTTGAGAGACTCCCAAGGAAACTCTCTCTTAACAACCCTTGTCTGGATTAGCAGGCCTCGCATCCACACACTGTGGTGGCCCTTGGTATGGTGTGAGCTTGCCTTCTGCAGACAGGGAATTCAGCCACAGCAAAACATCACAGAGAAATGGAAACAGTCTGCGTCTCAGAAAATGACTTTTTAATCTGATTATGCACTAGTGGCAAAAGTAAAACACCACTCCATTCTCTCAAGAGAGTACTAGGATGGTGACGGCCATGCTAAGCTGGCAAGAAGCATCAGGTGCCTTCCACAGCGAGTCCGGTCTTTAATGCTCTCGTGGAAGTAGATCCTAAACATAGAGAACTGATGCCCAGGGGTGTTCATCATGCTAGTAAGCACAGTCACAGAAGATTGGAAGGACCTCGCACTGCTGTGGAGGGCAAGGCTGCTCCACTGATGGAGCAGCATGGGGCTGGGCAAATGGCTCAGTGGTTAAGAGCATTTGCTGCTCTTACACAAGATCTGACTGTGATCCCCAACACCCAAATGGTAGCTCACAACCATCTATAACCCCAGTTCCAAGAGACCCATGACCTTCTTCATCCTCCACAGACATCAGGCATACATGTGAGTAAAGCACTCATAAAACCTTTAAAAAGAAAAGAAAGATGGTAATGAGGGCTGGCAAGAAGGCACCATGCACGCAAACATGAGGACTATAGTTCAGATCCCAGAACTCACATGAATGAAGCTGGGCAGGTAGCCTGGCTGAACTTACAGTCTGGAAAGGCGGAGTCTGGGGATTCCCCAGAGCAAGCTGGTGGTCAAGACTAACCATATCGGGGCTGGAGGATGAGTCAGCAGTTAAGAGCACTGGCCGCTCTTCCAGAGGACCCAGGTTCTGTTCCCAGCTCCCACACAGCAGTGCACAACTGAAAACTCCAGATGCAGGGGATCCAATGCCCTATTCTGACCCCCAAGGGTGTGAATGTGATACACAGACATACATATAGGCAAATCCCAAAAGACTGTCCATATTATTAGAGAGCTCTGGATCTGATTGATACCTGCTTTCCTCAGTAAGGGAGTGTGATCAGCCTTGGGCCTCTTACATGCATACACACAAGCCCACACACGTGTCCATAAATGTAAATATGCATATATACATGAAACATGGGAGTTGGGGTATCCATAAAGACATGGCAAAAGTGTGGAGAAGCTGCTTAAAAACACAAAACAGTTTGCGGTCAAAGGTCCCACCAATTCCATCAGCCACAATGGTAAATACTTGTAATCACAACACTTTGAGGCTGACCTAGGATTGCTGTAGGTTCAGAGTCCGTCTGAGCGACACAGGGAGACCGGTACTTGTTTGTTTGCTGTCCTTTCTCTAGTTACTTGGAACTAGTGTGTGATTTCAGGAAGATTTTCTGTTCTTCAGCCGTGCTTGTTAGTGATGTGCTGCCCCTTGTCTGTAATAGTCACTGAGAAATGAAGGTCCTAGGGCAGGGGAGAAGGTTCAGTTGGTCAAATGTTTGCACTGTAAGGAAGAGGACCTGAGCTCAGGCCACATAATCCAGGTTCTTAAAAAGCAGGTGTGGAGGCCAGACAGGCAGAGCCTGGGGTTGACTGGCCGGCCAGCCTCGCCTACTCGTCAAGCTTGACATCATCGAGAGACTATTGCAGAAGACAAGGTGGAGGGCCAGTGAGATGGGTCAGTAAGTAAAAGACCCACCACAAGCCCAGCAGTCAGAGAGGAGATGGCCAACTCGCACAGCTTGTCTCTGACCTCCGCACGTATACACAATGAGTAAAATGTAATATATTTTTTTAAAGAGCCCTCAGGGAACTGGAGAGGTGGCTCGGAGGTCCGGAGCACTGGCTGCCCCTCCAGAGGTCCTGAGTTCAATTCCCAGCACCCACACGGTGTCTCACAGCCAATCTATAATGGGGCTGATGTCCTCTTCTGCATGCAGATGTACATGAAGACGGAACACTCATGTACATGAACTCCCTAAGGAGTGGCTCCAATGTTGAGCCCTGGCCTCCGTGTACACAAAGATTCAGGACTGGAGAGGGCGCCCGGCAGCGGAGCACTTGGCGTGGCACTCTGCGGCCGTCACTTCAATCCCGCACCATGAAACAGGTTGGCCCTGTAGTAACCCAGTGATTGTGCACTCTTCCAGATACACTTGCTGCAGTTCCACGGAACCAAATACGCCGCCATCGACCCGTCGGTGGTCAGTGCAGAGGAGCTGGAGATGCAGAAAGGGCGGCTCGGCCTCAGCCAGGAGGGGCCGTAGAGGGGCTCGTGACACCCGAGCCAGCGCGGTCTTGTACAGTCAGTTCAGGTCCTTGGGGCACACTGGTCCTCATGGTTTAGAAGCAGGACTGACTGTCATCTTCATGACAGGAATCCGCCATCTCAGCCAGTGTGACAGTCCCCTCTCCAGGCTTGTTTCTGCTTGTTTTTTTTTTGTTTTTTTTTTTTTTTTTTTTTAACTTTTGAATTTGAAGAACTTTTAAAGACTCCCATTTAGGAATTGTGACACTTTTGCTACTGAAAGTCTTCTCTACCATCGCGTGTTTATTTCGAAGGCTTGGGATCACGTGGCATTTTCTCTTTTCATGTCTTCTTCCTCTTTCTCTGTTATGCACTGTAAGCACTGCGCATCCAGATGGGAAGAGGAACATGGGCTATTTTATGCATTCCTGGGCATAATCAGAGTGCCAAGGCTGGTGGCCTGCTGGCCAATCCCTACAAATCAGCTATTTTAGTTCCTGGTTGAGCACACCATTTTGAGTATTAGCTGTTGTATTTCTAGACAGTACAGTCATTTGGAATAAAAATTGAATTTCAGTGAGCGTCTCTTGTGATGACTGTTGCTGCCTATGTGGGCTGCTGTCCAGTGTGGTGTGACAGTCGGCGAATTGCTCGGTCACCCTAGCGCACAGTTTGCCGGTGATAGAGTTGCTGTTTCCTGCTGACTGCAACTATGTGACAACGCTTTTCTTTTTATCTTTCTCACTAACGGATTTGTTAAAAAGGTAGAGTCTCATTTAGGCCAAGCTATCCTTGAACTCCTTATGTGCCAAGGCTAGCCTTGAACGCCTATCCTCCTGCTTCCACCGCCATATGCTGGGATTCTAAGTGTCATCCTGAAAGCTCACCTGACTCCTAATAGAAGTGTTTTTAATACTTATAGAGAAACTAGAACAAACTCTCTCCAGCTATTGATTCACCTTAAAAGATTCCAACCTGTGTATAATTTTGTCTGTCTCCCTCAGTCTTCCACATACATTCCTACCCTGGGTGACTATAAAGCCTTTTTGATACCATATCATTTCTGCGTGTACTTTCAGGAGATAAACTAGGTTATTTGAGCAGCTGGGGGATGGCTCAGAGGGTGAAAGTGCAGCTTTACTAGCATGAGGACCTGAGTTCAAAGTCTCCAGTGCCCATGTCCAATGTCAAGAGTGTCCACACAGGCCTGTAACTTTAACAGGCATCCTCTGGCCTCTGCCCGAGCACACAGGTATGCATACCCATGTGTGTGTATCTGTGTTATACACATTGGTCACACAAAGAGGTTATTTGATAAAACAGGTTGAAATGTCTATATGTAAGAGACCATATTCAATTCACATATTAGAAAACTTTTATGATCCACAAATTGAAAGCTCTAATTAACATTTTTTTAAAAATTAAGCTATGGGAAGTTATAATCATAAATCTAGAAGAAATTAATATTTTAACTATAATCATAAATAGCTCTTGGGGCTGGAGAGATAGCTCAGCTGTTAAGAGCACTGGCTGCTCTTCTAGACATCCTGAGTTCAATTCCCAGTGACCACATGGTAGCTCACAACCATCTGTCCTCAGATCTGATGCCCTCTTCCTGCATGCTGGTGTACATGCAGATAGAGCATTTCTATACATAAAATCTTTAAAACAAAAACAGATCTTAGATCAGCAAATGGTTCAGCAGGCAAAAAGCCCTTGTTGCACAGCCTGATGACCAGTCTCCAGGCCCTGGGACCCACGTGGAAGAAGAGAACCAATGCCTGCAAACTGTCCTGTGTTCTCCATGTGGGTACTTTCACGTGGATATGCCCACACCCATACACACAATAAATTTTTAAAAATAAGATGGCATGGTAGCACATACCTTTAATTTTAGCACAGCAAAAGCAGGCAGATGTCTGACTATGAGATCAGCTTGGTCTATTTGGTGAGTTCCAGACCCGTAGTGAGTCCCTTCCTCAAAATAAATAAAAACCCAGGCTTGCGGCAGGCAAGATGGCCGCTTTAAAACAACAGGTTTCCAGCTCTGCACTGAGATGAGTAGCTGCAGGCGGCCCCAGGATTCATCAGCTTAGAGGGGTCTGCTGAACCCCAGAGATCTGAGAAACAACAAGCTACCACCTGACTGAACCCCACACAAACACTCCACACACAAAGAGAGAAAGGTGACAGTTTCCTGGCCTCACCGTTTCTCTGTGCCTGATTTCCCAGCCACACGTGGAGCTGCCGTGAGCAGCCGTCACATAACCAGGAGATAAAGTGACTGTTGGGGCCGCCCTGTGTTTCCTTTCCATATCCTCTCTGCACAAGTCCACTCCTACTGAAAACTGTAACTACCTGCTCCGACACTGGGTGACTCAAGCTGCCATTTCCAGTCCTGACTGGTTTGGTTGCTGGCCTGTAACACTTTTTCGGGTCTGTCGTTGAGACTAGCCTTCGGCAGGAGCCTCGGACAACTCCAGGCAAAACTACAACCACTCCTCAACAAGACTGTCAAACCTGCCCTGCCTCTTCTCCCAGGCATCAAGGAGCCTCTGAAGCTCCCACCGAGGTCTAAGAGGCTCAGAGTAAAACCAATGCTAAGACAAAACTCGGTGCTGAGGTGTGAAAAAAAGATGGAATGGGCAGACCCCGCCCCCACAAGGAGCTTTGGGGCTTGGGATGCCTCTGGGTTGAAATAGCTGCCTCTTCTGCCACGTGCCTTGCTCAGGTCCTGATGCAGGCTGTCACGAGGGAACACGGTCCTGGGTGAAACAGGCAGCTCTCTCTGTACTAGAAGCACACTCTAAATGGGCTGACAGTGGGAGGTGGAGAAGAATTTTAATTTAGAACATGGCTGCTCTGGCAAGAGATCACATCCAAAGACCTAGGTCTGTGTGATCAGGGTGGAATACAGTCACACCTGTAATCCAGGAGACAGAGGTAAGCAGGTCTGAGCTCAAAACCAGTCTGGTATAGACCAGGTTTCAGGTAAAGAAAAGCTTAGGTCCAGGCATGGCTTTAATCCCAAAGAAGGTAAAGTTAGTTTGTAGAAAGAAGCACCTATGTTTGAAAGTGATGTTTAATTGAGTGGCAGAGAAAGTGACAAATCAGAAAGACTTGACAGAATAGGATACACCCAACTCTCATGAGGATAGAGGAAAGGGAAGCTACTTAGAGAGAGAGGGCAGTTTTTACCAAACTCAGGTCCTCTGGAAGAGCAGCTGGTGCTCTTAACCTCTGAGCCGTCTCTCCAGCCTCATTTACTGTTTTAACGTTCAAAATGTGGAGGTGCGTAAAAGACTGTGGCATTCTGGAAAAGACTAAATGCAGATACTATAAAGAGCAGCTGTTGACAGGGGCTCGGGGTGAGGGGTGGGTTGCTGGCACCCAGGGCACTGTGGCACAGTGAAGCTGTTCTTTATGGTAGCTGTGGACAAACCTATGAGGCGTACATTGCCGTGAGGCCTGATGTGAGCTGTGGACTTCGGCTAGTGATGAAGTTTCAGCACAAGCTGGGCGCGTGGCTGGGCTGGTAGCTGGGCTGGCTTAGCATTCTCAAACGCCCAGGCTCCAGCCCTGGCTCTGCACGAACCAGGTGTGGTGGCACGCTCAGCAATGTGGCTGCTCGAGCTGCATGAGACCCTGTCTGAAAAAGGAAGGAAGGAACAAAGAAAGGCGTGTCAGTATCGGCTCATCAGCTGTGCCATAGCCCACAGACGTGAAACATGGATGGGGGAGCTGCGTGCCAGAGAATGACAGATGGGCGTTCAGCTTTCCCAGTCATTCTAAAAGTAAACTCCCTTAAAACAGACAATTTGGGAGCTGGAGAGGCTGCTCAGCGGTTAAGAATGCTTGTTCTTCCAGGGACCAGAGTTCGGTTCCCAGCACCCAAGCCAGGCAGCTCACATCCACCTGTAGCGGCAGCTCTGGGGAATCTGCACCTGTGTGCACACATCTGCACACAGACACATCTTAAACTAACCAACTAACTAACCAACTAACCAACTAACTAAAATTGTGAAAAGAAAAGGACACTTTAAAACCAGCCAGGTGGGTCAGGAATGATGTCACATACATGGAGTCGCAGCTGCTTGGAAAGCGGGGGCCAGGGGCTTGCCTGAGCCGGGTGCTGCGGTTTGTATCTGTGTGCACGTGCCTGCTTGGGACACAGCCATGGCCACTGTAAGAGCTCAAGTGATGTCAGCCTTGAGGTAAACAGCTCTCTTACCACACCTGTGTAACGCTGCCCCACGGCAGGCCAGAAGCAGCTGGAGCAAGAGACACGGGCTGAAACTGTGAGCTGGAATCTTTTCTCCTGTTTCATGTGTTTTGCCAGTGAGGGGACGCTGTGGTAGTCTGGGCAGGAGTTACCAAGTCCTGGCCGGTGCCAGGAAGGGCTGGGTTCTGGAGGATAGTTGGCAGATCTCTATTAGTCTGGGGGTGTGGTAGGTGCGGAAATGTGCTGCCTAGACCCTTCCTCAGGAAAGGCCTTCTGTTTCTGTTTGTCTGTTTGCTGAGACAGGCTTTCTCTGTGTAGCCTTGGCTGTCTGGACTAGCTTCGTAGAGCAGGCTGGCCTCGAACTTGCAGAGCCACTGTGTCCAGCTAAAGAAGGCCTTCTGCCTGATGATGTCAAGCGCAGTGGACACAGTCTCCCTGTAAAAGGACTGTTATTTGACTGTTTCAGTTGCTGTCTTAGAGGCTTACTACCTCTGTCTGCTAACCTAGGTCTAGTCCTGGAAGCTTCTAGCCTCCACACAATCTAACCTAGGCCTAAAACGGTTTCTGCCTCTGAGACTTAATAGTTTTCACCCTTTCTAGTTCTGAGCTCATAGCTGGCTGGTTCAACTCAGCTGTTCTGGCTCAAACTCCTCTCCCAATCTTGCTTTTCTCTTGGCCTCTGAATTGCTGCTTGGCCTCAAACTAACTCCAGCAATCTTTTTCTATTCTTCTGGCTCCTTCTCATTCTCTGGCTCATTCTGTCTTCACTTGTATCTAGCTTGTTCTCTCAGTCGTTCAACCTCTCCTGTAAAACCCTTCCTCCTCTTTCACAACCATCTGTAATGAGATCTGGTGCCCTCTTCTGGTGTGAAGGTGTACATGCAAACAGAACATTGTATACATAATAAATAAATCTTAAAACAAAAAAAGTAAATTTATCCATTAAGGATTTGTCCTCCCACCTTCTCCCCGGTCCCAAGGACACCACTCCTGTTAGTTTCTGGGCCTTCATCTAGCTTTTATTTGTAGACACATATACACATGAAAATACACTTCCATTCCGCAGGCAGCAAGCAGTTTACACATGGGTCTATCGATTTTCTTCGCTGAATTGATCCTAAAGTTCTTTCCACAGCAGTCCTTATCCTCAGGCTCTTTTTCACTGTTGTGTACCACTCCACGATGCAGACAAACCAGATTTCATATTAACAATCTCCAGAAGATAATCAGTTGGGGGAAAAAATAAAACACAGAAGACTGGAAGTACTGTGTGATAAGGAACCTCAAGCCATGTGTGCTGGTGACCCCTGTAACCGCAGCACCCAGGAACTGCGGCAGGACGAAGCTGGGCTTCACAGGGAGACAGTCCTGACTGAAGCAGAGTATAGCCCAGGGCATGCTGGGTAGGTTCCTTGCCTCAGTGTCAGCTGCTGCAGGTTGGCTCGTACACTGAGCTGCACACCCGGACCTCAGGGCCACAGCCTGAGTCCTGCAGGCTGACTGTGGGGGCCGGGGTGCACTTTCAGGCAATGGGGAGCGAGTGAGGTGGGCCAGCCAGCAAGAGGGGCACCAGCTGGGTCTAAAGCAGCAGACTATGAGCTACTCGAAAATTAAAAAATAAATAAAGTTTCAGCAACACCACAACCACATCGCAGGACCCTGAGCAACGCCTCACTATACAGTCCTCTGTAATCCAGCTCCCACCACCAACCAGCGCCCACCCATCAAGAAAGGATCACAAGGCCGCACGGTCTGAGCAAACCATGAAATCATGGTCTGAACACCCATATTTGGCCCACCTCAAACAAAAAGGCCTGTCCTTGCTTCCTTGGGGCTACAGAGTCCCAACAACCTGCCGTCTTATTAAGTCTTCGGTGAGACTTCTTAGGCCCTTGGCCAGCTAGTTTTCCTAGCTCGTGACCTTTCGACTGCACCCAGCCACGGGGCACCTTCTCTAGGGAGAAAGTGCTTTTGTTTTTCATGACTACTTTGTCCCATTGTCCCCTCCGCTGCCTTGCTAACTCTGCTTGGTCTGAGCACTCCTCTGTCACTGAGTGGGTGGCCCCTGGTGGGAGCTGCTCATCTCTAGCACAATGCACAGGGGTCCCTTCTCCTCCCGTACCTACCCCTGCGTCCCTATCCCCAGTTCCTCCTGGACAGTGTCTGAAGAGCTCTGGGTCCAGACGTCACTCCTACCCAAGAGGTCTATAGCCAGTCTGTCCTTCTGGGAGTCTGACTAGAATCCCACCACCCTCCAGTTATATCTTTCCTCTCTCCTGCCCTCAGGTCCTGGGAATGCTGCTGGCTCCGCTGATTTTTTTCTTTTTTCTTTTTTTTTTTTTTTTTTTTTTTTTTGTGGGGGTGGGAAGGTGGGGAGGTGTTTTGAGACAGGGTTTCTCTGTGTAGCTGTCCTGGACTGGCTTTGTAGACCAGGCGGCCTTGAACTCAGAGCTCCACCTGCCTCTGCCTCCCTGAGTGCTGGGATTACAGGCGTGGACCACAGCACACATGCTCGGCCACTGCTGTTTTTCAGTAGTTAAACTGGATTAAAGTCGGCCAGGTGGTAGCGGTGCAGGGCAGGCAGAGGCTGGCAGATCTCTGTGAGTTCAAGACCAGCCAGGTCTACAGAGCGAGTTCCTGAACTGTCAAAGGCCCCGCCCGAGAGGGTGAGCCAGAGAGAGAAGCTAGGAGGATGCGCTGACCTTGCTGCTGGGTCCTGCTGGGCCACCTCTTGACCCATGGGATGAGCTGTAACTGTTAAATAAGGCATTTATATTGTTTTTAAAAAACGTGATCTGTGATCCTGGACCAGATATTAATCCAGGAGGTGAGAAAACACTGACAAAATTTGAGTATGGTCTGAAATTAATGAATAGTTTAGAAACACTGTTAATTTCCTAATTTTTAAAAAAAGATTTTATGTGTCTGAGTGTTTGGCTGAACACATGGATGAGCACATGCGCATGCTCGAGCGAGCTGTGAGCTGCCACAGGGTGCTGCTGAACACAGGTCCTCTGCAAGGAGCGCTCTCAACCACTGAGCCATCTCTCCAGCCTCTGACTTCCTGGCTTTAAAAATCCACACTGCCGTTAGGTAAGAGTTAATATTTAGAGACCTGCGTGCAGAACCCTTGAACACTCTCGGTACTACTTTGTGAGTTTTGTAAGTCTGAAATGATTTCTAGACACAAAAGATCAAAAACATACAAAGCACAAACCCAGTTACCCACTCCTGGTCGGCCAACATACACAAACATACTCACAAATGTATGCAAGTTTACAAATATAAACAGCATGGCAGCTTCTGCGTGTGTGGCACTAGAGATCAGTGAGTTGTCCTGAAGTTAAGGACCATCCAGTGAACAAATGAAGCCCTCCCTGCAGGGAGGACTGCTGGTTTGACAGCACTGGGTTTATGGTGTGACCTGAGCAAGCTGCTCCTCCTCCCTGGACCCCAGGGAGTCCTCGAAATAAAAACACCCCTTGCACCTCATGATGTTCTAAGATAATGGAAGTGAAACTTAACTAGAGGCCTGGGGAAACAGCTCAGCAGATACAACATTTGCCATGCAACATGAGGACTTGAGCTTGACACTCAGAACCCACATGAAAACCAGGGCATGGTGGACATGCTTGTAAACCCAGGACTAGGGAGGCAAGATAGGAGGGTCACTGGGCTCACTGGCCAGCCAATCTGGTTAGACCTAGGACAGGCCCTGTCTCAACAAGACGTTCCAGGACTTCTAGGAATAGAGAGAGAGACTGTCTCAAAACAAAACAAAACAAAACAAAAACCACAAAATGGACAGTGCCTATGGAGGAAAACCCTGCCAAGTGCCCTCTGGCCTCCACATGCTTGTGATGAACACATTACACCCTCACAAACACAGCAAGCTGAGAGCTATAAAGGGCCACATTCCTGGGAAAGGATGACCCAGAAAACCTAGACTGCGGCCCATCCTCCGAAAAGCGTGTTTCCTGCAGCTGATGCAGCTGAGGTCTGTGTGCGGGGTCTGCTGGAAAGCTCTCATGGACATCCCCTTCGGTGTCGGCGGTCCCTCGGCGTTCCAGCAGCTCACATGGCTGTGCACCTCCTGGGGGCCTGGGACTCCCCATTTGCCATCTTCCTGGCACGTTCTGTAGAACACAAGACTCCTGTTGCCTGGAGCTGCATCAGCCCTTCCTCCCAGGGCTGGCTTGTGTCCTACTTTCCTGTGAGTCTTTATGCCAAGAGAAGGCACGCTGCCATTCTTCGGAATATTTGGGAGGGTTGGTGCTTGGTAAGAGCATTTGCTCTTGTGGAGGACCTGAGTTCTGTCCCCAGCCCTCAGGCACAGCTTCCTGGTGATCTCACACCTTCTGATACAGGTGCAAACAAGGCACTCGCATACAGATAAAAGAAATAAACACCTAAAAAATGTTTAAGAATAGTTGGGGGAAAATAATGTTTTAAAACTAGAAACAAACAAAAACAACAAAAAGAATATTTGGGGGCCCGATATGGAGGCATAGGCCTTTAATCCCAGCATTGGGAGGCGGAGGCAGGTGGATCTCTGTGAGCTTGGGGCCAGGTTGGTCAACAGAACAAGTCCCAGGCTAGCCAAGTCTACATAATAAGACCCTGTCTCAAAACAGCAAAGAACCCCAAAACAGCAACAATAATAATAAAAACTGTCAACATCTTATATTACCTATATAAGTACCCGAGGCCAAAATAGAGTAATTTTTAAAAACTTTTTTAAAAAAAACTTTTTAAAAAATTTTTTTCTAAGCATTTATATGTGGGTTATTTCTTTTGAGACAGTGTCTCACGACATAGCCTTGGCTGGTCTAAAACCTGCTATGTAGACCATGCTACTCTCAAAGGGGTAGCGAATCCCCTGCCTCCGCCTCCCGGGGGCTGGAGTTAAAACCCAGGTGTTTTGTGTGGTTGATTTAATGGTATTTTGGGAAATGAAGCTCAGTGGCAGAGCCCTTGCCTGGCATGCACCAAGCCCTGAGGCCTTCCCCTAACAACACAATCAGTGGGGTGTGTTGTCTGTCACTCACCTCTGATCTCAGCACTTGGGAGGCAGAGGCAGGAGGATCACAACTTAAAAAGCATCTGAGCTACAAGTTGAGTTTAAGGCTAACCTGGGCTACATGAGACCATGTCTCAAAATAATAATAATAAATGTTCTTAGGGGGGGAAAAAAGCTATTCCCTAATCTCCTCACCTGAAATGACTTTCTCATCTGGCCTAGAGGACTTGAGGGACGGCTGCCATACAAGAACTGTTTTCCTTGCTGCCTCATAGCTAAGGTAGCCTCCAGGGCTGCCGGTAACTGCCTAACTGCCTAGCTGTCAAACCTGAAGCTGCCCCACGACGCCCATGCTGATGGACTCTTCCGCTGCTTAAGGCTTTTTCGTCAGCCAGTTTGCCCTTACTGATGGATTAGTTCCACAACCTTTGATCCTGCGAGTCTGAAAGTCCCAAGCTTTCACTATGGGAATCCCAAATCAGGCTTCTGGGAGTGGCATGGTTAAGTACCTTATGCTGGCTTCAGAAGCCTCAGCTCCATGTTTAAGCCAGTCTGTGGCTCATCTCTCCTAACACTTGTGAAAAAGAAGCCCCAAGACTGTTCAGAGACAATAGGGGAGGTAAAGATACGGGTGTCACGGTGACCCTGGTGGCTGTGAAGGGCGGTTCCCTGGCACTATTATTCAAAGACACTGATGGGTAAGTGCTGGAATGACCCTGCTGCTTGAGGTTGCAGTCCCCCCAGGCCAGGTAAGGTGCAGGACTCCCTCCCCTCAGCAGGGCCTCCTGCTCTCTGCCTCACTTCATCTGGAGAGACAACCCCAACAAAATTTGATATATGGCCTTGGATACACTCCCTGCTAGCTCTCCCCTCCCTGTGTCTATTTGATAGTTAGGTACTGTGTTCCCATTCCTGTGATGGGAGCGTGGCTGTGTAATGCTAATCAAGCATCCTTGAAGTACCTACTTTCAGCTAATTACACACACCTATCCTTGGAGCCCCCAGCCACTCCCCAAGGGGTACACAGCCTTTGTTCTCCAGAGTTAACGTTGAACTAGCTCCCTGCAGTGGTTGCCAGGGTGTGCCAGCCCCGTGCGGTGCCCACCGCCATTCCAGGCACCCTTCTTGTCTTGTGTCCCTTCTGACTTGGTGGGTCTTAGTTTGCGCAGGACCAGCCACACAGGGCTCTGACATGGGCGCCCTCTGAGGGCCCAAGCATTGCAGCCAGGCCTCGCTTACCAGCCAGGCCTCTCCTGCCGATGGCCGTGAGGCCCTCAAACAGTGCCTTGCCGGGGTTCTTCCCAGCCGTGGTCACACCGTGCAGCCAGATGAGCAGCATCCGGTGACCGTGCTCCTGGTAGCTCCTGGTTCCTGTGGAGATGAGAGGAGAGGCTGCCTTGACTTCCAGAGCCTGTGTACGCCGCCCTCTACCGCATCCTAAATGACTCAGCCACACAGGGGCCCTTCTCCCCTCGGCAGGTGGCCTGGGTTGGAGGTGGGGGTTAAGGTACAGCTTCTTAGATGGGGTGGCTTGGTGACCGGTGTCTCAGGCCATGCCTCGGGCACACATCGGATCTAACACACGGATGAAAAGCAGCCTGGTGAGACACAGCTGGCCATGTTTTTGCCCCAGCACTGGCTCACGGTTCTCAGCCTTAGACACCTCTAAAAACTCTATCTACTTCTGGTTCTTCTATTGACAATACATAGCGCTTGTATATTTTATCCTGTAGTTAGCCATTTCACTCAGCTGTCAATTTTCTGTCTGTTAAATATTTGAGTCTTCTGGACCTTCTCATGTATAGGAGTTGAAATATTTGAAATGAAGAATTTGTCCTTTCCATTATGTTCCCCATGTTTCTCTGTCTGTCTGGGTCTGCCTGTGTGTGTGTGTACAGTACATGAGTGTGTGATATAAATGCGTGTGTGTGTGCATGTGTCGTGAGCGCCTGCGCCCTTGGATGTAGGGACGGGTGGGGGGGACGGGACCGCTGCATCACTCTTGCCTTTCCTGCCTTGAGACAGGGTCTCGCTGAAGCTGCAGCTTGCTGCCTGGGGCTAGGCTGGCCGGCTAACAAACCCCGTGGTCCTTCTTTCTCCGCACACCGCCCTCTCCCAGCGCTGAGGTTAGAGGTGTCCAGAGCCGCCCCCAGCTTGCCCGTGAGCCTTACACGTCTGAACTCAAGTCCTCACATTTGCACGCTGAGTGTTCTTTCCCACGGAGTCATTTCCGTGCCTTTGGACCAGGGCCAAGATTTACTGCCGTTAAATAGGTGTGGCAGCAGTTGCCTCTCCTCCCTCTCCCTCCGCCCCTGCCCCGCCGTGAGGAATGGCGTTAACTGATTGCATAAATGGTAGGTATGGGTTCCAGTTGATTCTGCAAAATGCAAGGTACAACAGGGATGCCTCGCCTGTGCAAGAAGCCAGGGGGAGCTTTGGAAGTAGAGTGGGCTAGGCCGTGGGTTCCCCAGACACAGAGCACGGAACTCCTCTCACATGCCCCTAGCCACCAGCTGCCCTGGCATGGGGCAGGGTAAGGCAGCACCTGTCCACTGCTGCTCGATGGCACAGACATGAGCCTCCGTGAACTCCCAGGAATAGGCCAGTTTCTTCCACTCGCTGGGCCTCAGATACTGGGAGGCCAGCCGCCAAAGCACGGAGCGCAACTGCTGTGTTTCCTGCCGATGGTCTTGTTTAAAGGTCAGGTTCTTCCTCGAGGGGCTGCTGGCACCCCTGCAGGGATGGTGCTCCTGTGGGGCAGATGCCAGAAGTGCAGGAGCCACCTGGAGCCTCTTGCAAACTCTGCCTCATGCTCTTAGACGCAGGTGATACAGAGCCCAAGAACCTGCATCAGCATGGGCTTCCAGCCTCATGCACGCCCTGTCCGCCTCGAACACTGGGCCCCGACTTCCTCACACCGCTCCTCCATCTAGAACTCACCTCCCTGACTTTCAACCCATTGCCAAAAAAATATTACTACAGGCCACCTCCTCCAGGAAGCCTCTGGCCGGAGACCTCTCTGTTCTCACACCATCTCTTTATCACCTATGAAGTTTATGTATTCAAACCAATTCATTCCTTGGCCAGGATCCCACCAGCTCAGACAGGAGTCTGCCTTGTCTCAGCGTGGCTGGGTGCTTGCCCATCCAGGGCCTCACAGGCTTGTGGTACCCAAGGCAGAGATGACTACCCACTTAGAGACAGGGCCCCAGATTGATTGAGGCTGGGACTCAGCGCCAGCTCCATGCACAGCCAAGGCTTTCCAGCAGGAGAGATCAGTAAAGGCAGTACCTTCTCCCATCTGTAGAAGCGGTCAGCTTTTATGAGCATGTCCACCAGGCTGACATGGTTACCACGGGCAGCCACCGCCAGGGCGGTCTTTCCTTGCTGCAAAGAAGAGGCAAAGGGAGGCTGCAGTTTCTACAGCGTGGTGCAGGGCTGCCTCTGGGCTCACCCCAAAAACTCCTGCCCAAAGGAAGTCCTCCCAGTGGTCCACACTGGAAACAGAAAGGTTTTCTGGGCTGCATGGTAGAGATGCTGGGTAATGACAATAACAACAATAATAGCTTTATTATTTTACTTTCTATATTATTATTATATATTGTTATTGTTATTGGTAGCAGTGTATGATATGGAAGAGGCTGGGAAAGAGGGGCTGCTTAGAGCAGAAGTACCTTATCCCTCAGGCTTAAATCAGCTCCAGCAATAAGGAGCATCTCTGCTACATCCTGCCAGGCATGCTCGGAGGCAAGGTGGAGCGGAGTCTGCTGCCTCTGGAGAGAAGGCAAAGGGGATGGTAAAGCACGCAGAAAGCATGTGGGGAACCAGGCGTGGTAGCACTCAGGAGGCAGAGGCAGGTGGATCTCTGTGAGTTCGAGGCCAATCTGGTCTACATGCTAGGTTCCAGGATAGCCAGGACTACACATGAATGAATGAATGAATGAATGAATGAATGAATGAATGAATGAATGAGGGCTGGAGGGGTGGCTCAGTGGTTTAGAGCAAGCACTGTTCTTGCGGAAGTGCCTACTTGAGTTCCCAGCACCCACTCCCATGGTGCACAGCTGCCTGTAACTCCAGCTCCAGGAGAGCTGAGGCGCCTCTGGCCCCCCAGGGTACCTGCACACAGGTAGCACATACTCACACAGACACTCACGAGCATACACATGCACACAAACTCACACACACATGAATTTAAAAAACCCAACAACCTTGGAAAGCTAAACAAGGAAATAAGTTTCTGGAGTCTAGGCCATGCTGGGAGAGCCCTGGCTCTGAACTGCGGTCACTCACAATGTCCACGGCGTCCAGATCACTGTGGGCGTCTATGAGGAGCTGGACCAGGCCAGGGAAGTTGTGCTTCACAGCAAGGTGCATAGGAGTGGTGCCCTGCTACAGAAGAGACACACGCATCAGTCGCCTGCCCCACCCAGGACTGCACATTGGAGGGGGGGTTAATCTGCCATGTCGTCTCTCCAACCACACTAGGGGACCCGAGGCCAGCGCAGCCACAATGCCTGGAACTAGAGGCCTAAACTGGTCGGTAAGGAGGGCGGCAGCCTTCATGGCAGGTTAGAGACTCTGCTATGGCAGCCTTGGGCATGTGTGCGTGGTATGACCTCAGACACGTCCACCTTCCTCTGTCACTCCTCACCTGACGAGTGATGGCTGTTGAGGACCCTTCCAGCAATACCACCTTCTGATGCTCTATCACAGTAAACCCACACAGTGGGCTAAAGACCACACAGAAAGGTTTGTGTCCTTGTGGGCATCTGCGTCTTTCAAACGGAAGCACAGACACTCACAACACAAGCTAGCAGGCACCCGGGGAGGTGTCTGACAACGATGATGTATAGAATGAATGAATGAATGAATGAATGAATGAATGAATGAATGAATGAACGAACGAGAGCCTGTCAGGCACATAAGAGAGACCTTACCCAAGTCCAACACTCATTCAAGCCCTAGTTCAAGGATGAGGAGCACCATTCCCGACAGCCACCGTGGCCTCCTGACTAACAACTAGAGTGAAGATGCCCCGTGTCGCCCCCGTCTCTGGGTGACAATGACATTCTATGGAATAGCACCAGGCTGGTAAAATCGTTGCTGTAGGTCCACACTTACTATAGAAACACGCACTTACATATGGACATGAAAAGGTTACGGAGCATAACAGGTGTGCACATACCCCCGGGGCCGCCCGCAACTGTCGTTAGGAGCGCAATTCAGTGAAGGGTGTTTTTAAACTTCATTTTCTTAGAAGTATTTTTAAAAATTATTTTTGAAGCATTAATTTAAATTTGGATTGATTTTATTGTTTTTATGGGTACGAGCACTTCGCCCGTACACGTATCTGTGCAGCGTGTGTGCGCCTGGGCTAGTGAAATCAGAACCCCTGCCTGGGACCAGAGTTATAGATGGTTATGACCCGACCCGCCGTGTGGGGGCTGGGAATCAAACCTGGCTCCTCTCCAAGAACAAGTGCTCCTGCCCAATCTCCAGCCCTATTACTGTTTTAAAGATTTGTTATTTTTAATTTGTGTGTTTGCCTGTATGTCTGTGTGAGCGTAGGAGACCTGGCCTGTGGAGGCCAGAGCATCCTACCTTCTGGGGCAGGAGTTAAGGCAGTTATGAGCCACTCCATGTGGGTCCTGGAAACAGAACCTGGGTCCTGTGGAAGAGCAGCAAGCGCTCCTAACTGCTGAGTCATCTCTTCAGCCTCTGCCTGTTAGCATTTGAGTTTATATTTTGAAGCAGGGTCTCACTGGAGAGCCCTGGCTGGCCTGGAATTCACTCTGTAGACCAGGCTGACCTCAAACTCATAGAGATCCGCCTGCCTCTGGCTCTCAAGTGCTGAGATTAAAGGTGTGAGCCACCATGCACAGCCACTGTCAGTATTTTAAAGGATTTTAACAGTATTGTTATTTGTAAGTGAAGTAATTACATGACTAGAGAGCTTTAAAGTTAGATGGGCAGTAAAACCCTAAAATTAACTTTTTAAAAAGCCGCATAGAAGAGAAAAATACCCAAGTCAATATCACTCCTGCATTCATGCCTACAAGAAATGACACAAATGTTTGCTTTTGAGAAAGGGTCTTGTGTAGCCCAGGCTCGCCTTGAAGTTGCTATGAAGCTGAGAATGGCCTTGAACTCCTGGACTATGGGGTGACATCGTTTAAAAGATGATGTCAAACTAAATGTAAACTATTGGAAGGGTATAATTTCATAGATAAAACAAGCCAGGCGAGGTGACACATGCATGTTGTCCCAGCACTCTGGGAGGCAGAGGCGGGTAGATCTCTGAGTTCAAGGCCAGCCTGCTCTACAAAAGGATAGCCAAGGCTATACAGAGAAACCCTGTCTCAAAAACAAAAATAAAAACAAACAGACAACTGAATAAAACACAAGTAAACCAGAAGCCACGTGGCAACCTTGATAAACAGAAAACATAAAGAAAAGAACAGTTGCGATGTGACTCTGTTGGAAGAGCGCAGGCCTAGCACGCTCAGAGCCCTGAGGTTTGATCGCCAGTACACATCTCTAATCCCAGATCTCATTACCTGGGGAGGCAGAGGCAGATGATCTTCCAGTGTGAGGCCAGCCTGGTCTACAGAGAAAGTTCCAGGACATTCAGGGCTACACAGAGAAACCCTGTCTTAACAAAACAAAAACAAAAATTGTATGTATTTCAGCTACATAATGAATACCAGGCCAGCCAGGGCCATATAGCAAGACTATTTCGGAAGGAAGGAAGGAAGGAAGGAAGGAAGGAAGGAAGGGAGGGAGGGAGGGAGGGAGGGAGGACCTCTTTATTTCTAAATTTCTATGTATTTTAAGTACATTAAATACATCTAAATTCTATGTGTTTTAAAATACATGGTTCTTGGGCCAGAAAATGGCTCAGTAGGTAAGGGAGCTTGCTGTCAAGCTTGAAGACCTGAGTGTGATCCCTGAAACCACATGGTAGAAAGAGAGAACTGACTCCCACATGTTGTCCTCTGACCTCCACATGTGAACACAGAGAGAGAGAGAACGAGAGAGGTATATTTTTGAAATATCTATTTCCTTATTTACATAATGGTAACAATCCATATATATGAAAACAGGCTTAGTGAGGTCAAAACAGTTTGCAAGTGGTAAATTGTGTCAGGGCTCAAAGCCAGGTTCTCTCTCTCTCTCTCTCTCTCTCTCTCCCCCCACCCCTTCTCCCCAAGAGTGAACAGAGATTTATTAAGCAAAATTGGGAAGAATCCCAAGGTAGGAGTATCTGGGTTTTCTAATAACAAAATCTGTCTCAGTCACAGAAATACACTGTCCCTAAAGAGTTGTAATAGGAAAAGAGTTAACAACTGGGGTGAGGAGATGGCTCAGATAGTAAAGTATGTGGCATGCAGGAGGACCCACGGGTGTGTGGCAGTGCACACCGCTAATCCCAGTGCTCGGGAGCAAAGCCAGAAGGACCCTGCTGTCTCAAAAGATGAAGTGGAGGGTGATTGAGGAAGATACCTATTGTTGACCTCTGGCCTTACACACACACACACACACACACACACACACACGAGAGAGAGAGAGAGAGAGAGAGAGAGAGAGAGAGATGGAGGGAGGGAAGGAGGGAAAGAGAGAATATAAGTGGCTGGGTCTGCAAAACAATTTTTTTAAAGATTTATTTATTTATTATGTATACAGCATTCTGCCTTGACATATATCTCCAGGCCAGAGAGGGCACCAGATCTCATTATAGACAGTTGTGAGCCACCATGTGGTTGCTGGGAATTGAACTCAGGACCTTTGGAAGAGCTGCCAGTGCTCTTAAACTCTGAGCCACTTCTCCAGCCCATGGCTCTGCAAAATTTAACAACTGCCAGGCGTAGTTAATTCAGCTGGGAGGACGCCCAAGCTTGGGTCCAACCCTGCTTCTGACAAAATATCAGAACACGAAAACGCCATGCTCCTTTAGTCCCTGCCCTACCCCAGCCTCAAGGAGCTGGAATGCCTCGATCTCCCTCCCGTGCCTAATTAATACAGTTATGGGAGGGTGCAGTGTGGGGCCCTTCAGTCCCAGCCCAGCCCTACCTTGTCAGCCACATCTGTGCACACTCCTGCCTTGATAAGTGCCCAAGACACGTCCTCAGAGCCACCAAGGGCTGCATAGTGGAGGCAGCTCCACCTTTTCTGGAAGGAAACAGGCATCAGAGCAGTAGTCCACGGACCTCTCATGGTGGGTGTGACAGGGCACCTTGAGACTCATATTCCATTCAAGTCTCATGGCAGGAGGAATTAATGATTTGCTCAGACCTAGTAACTTGCAAAAGAGCCCACTGTGGCTTGCCCTAGGCCACACAGCTAAGCCGTGGAGAAGCCAAGAGCAAACCCAAGATGAGTGCCTCAAAGCCCCTGCTCACAGCCCACTTAGGAATCCGCTGTTTCTGATTGGCCTATTGTGACTCAGTAGCCTGGAGAAGCCTTCAGTCTCAGGGGGGCTGGCTACCTGGGTGAGGGCTTTCACGTTGCTCCCAGCACTGATGAGGAGCTTCACGCAGTCGGCGTGGGATCCTTCGGCGGCTGCATGCAAAGCAGTCAGACCCTCCTGAAACAGGAAGGAATGGAGACTGGGGAAGCTGAAGCCAAACCTGTGAAGGGCACGTGTCTGCGCTCTGACCCCTTGAGCTCTCAGCTACCGACTAGTGAGGACAAGCGTCTTGTTACCTGTGGCTCCTGAGCCACGGGTGTTCTCCTGTGTGGAATGCACCCGCCGTGCTGACTCTCACCAACACCTCTGTCCACGTTCTTCTTGCCCTTTAAGCCAGCTCACCCTCACTATTCTCACCTCCTATGTCAGAAAGCCGGCCCTGACCATCTGGACGGTGGCAACTGTCTCCTGTTTTGACAACCCAGCCTGTCTGGCTCCCTGCCCAGCCAGGTCCCTGGGCTGCTGCTCACCTCCTCTTGGTAGGTGTTGAGTGTGAGAACATGCCCCCAGCTTGCTGCCCCAGGCCTCTGCCGAGGCAAAGTCACACCGCACCACAGGCTGAGGAGTTTCTCCAAGACGGAGAGCCACAGAGCGTCTCAGCTGTCTGTGTGTGTCCCCAGCTAACTCACCGAGTTCTGCTCTTCCAGGTCCAGCCCAATGTCTACGAGCCTCCGGAGCACCGCCACGTGGCCCTGGCTGGCAGCCAGGTGCAGGGCGCTGTTCCCCTCCTGCAGGATGAAGACTGCCTGAAGGGCTCATCGACACAGGGTCCCCACATTTCAGGGGGTCCCCCACTAGTGCTGCTCCCTCATTTTACAGGCACGGGAGTTAAGGCCCAGAGTGACATGTCCGGGGTTACAGAGCAAGTCTGACAAGCGTCATGCCTGTGCACTGCCCAAAGCCACAACCAGCGGCATTCTCAGGGCCCAAGTCCTGCACGCACGCTTGCTCTTTATGATTCAAGGCGGCTGCATTACTTTAAAAATAAGGGCTGGGAGTGTAGCTCAGCTGGTAGAGTGATTGCCTAGCATGCGCAAAGCTCCGGGTCCAACCCCACGAGTCTGTAAACCAGGCATGACAGTGCTGCCTAGAAACCAGTGCTTGGGAGATGGGGCAGGCAGGACGTTCCAGGTCATTTCCAGATACAGAGTGAGCGTGAAGCCAGCCGGGACGACATGAGACTGTCTCAGAGAAAGAAACAGAAGGGAGAGAAACAGGAGGGGAGAAAGGGGGAAAAGGAAAAGAGATCTTATCTTGGGCATCTCAGAGCCCACCAGCTGGCCCGTGTGCACTGAAGTGCCAGCTGGAAGAGCTCAAGACACATGGCGCACGCTAGCGTCTGAAGCCTTTCCCTCTATCAGCAGTAGGCTGCAGGAGGCTGGAGAGATGGCTCAGTGGTTAAGAGCACTGGCTGCTCTTCCAGAGGACTGGGTTCATTGTCCAGCACCCACATGGCAGCTCATACTGTCTGTAACTCCATTTCCAGGGGATTGGACCCCCTCACACAGACAGACGTGTGGGCAGACCACCAATGCACAGAAAACAAAAAATAAAAAAGATAAATACGCCATTAAAAAAAAAAAAAAGCACACTTGTTGCTCTTCCAGAGTACTGGTGTTCAATTCTCAGCACCGACATGGTGCCTCACAACCATCTGACCCCTGTTCTGACTCTGAGGGCGCCAGGCATGCACGCAGCACACATGTCTTCAGGAAGAACATTCATGCACATTTTTTAAAAATATGAAAAGAAAGGTAAGTAGGGCTGTAGGAGATGCCAGGACCAAGGAGGCACAGGAAGGCTGTGGCCTGGTCAGGGGTTTTAGAGGGCCTCTCGGTCACAGCACCTTGTCTTTGACACCGTGGTCACAGCCAGAGCCCACGAGGAAGTCCACAGCGTCCAGATGTCCGTGCTCAGCAGCTCTGTGGAATGCTGTTCTTCCCAGCTGGCCGGAAGGTGGGGGACAGTGAGTCTGTGCACACACCCTGCCCCGTCCTCGGCTTTCCTCATCTCTCTGTACTTGCAGCTGCCTCCCCCAACCCATTCCCCTGCCACCTCTTACCCAGCCTCAGCTTCCGAACAACAGCCCCTCTGTGGGGAGAAAGTCCCCCTTCTACTTCAGCCCTTCAGTGGCCCCTGGCTGCCCACCCCACAAAGACGGAATCCTCAGGTTTGAGATAGGTGGACAGGCAGTCCCTTTGGCTCTCCTCTCATGATTCCAGTCCATCTGAAATCACACACTCAGAGATCTTTCCTGCCTTTAGAGTTCCAGGGATGCTTTTTAACACTTCCCAGTGACTCCAAATCTCTCCCTCTCTAACTGCCCCAAATGCCCCCTTCTCTGGGGAGCAGAAAGCAGGCTCTTTCCTTTGGCCTGTTTGGCCCTTGATGGAAGTGAGAGTCAGCCATGTTTTGTTTTCATCCTGCCCATCCACATACCCTTCATGCCTCCTCTGGCGACACTCAAGGTAGAGTACAGTTTTTCTAGCTGATCAAAGAATACACTCTGGGTGTGCAGTACCCTAGTAGAGCCTGAGCCAGTAAGATACATCCAGTAGCACCCCTAACAAATAGGGCACACCCACCGGAGTCTCAGCCAATGGGAGAGTCGAACAGCTTTGCATGGCTCTTACCTTGTCTGCACCGTCCAAGGCCACGTCCTCCAGGTCTTCCATGACAAAGGCTAGCACAGGCATGTGGCCTTTCTGAGCCGCACAGTGCAATAGGGTCAGGCCCTCCTGGAAAGAAGGCCAGGAAGGGGCCTGGAGTCTGTGAAGGGAGGCCCTCCTCATACACGCCCTGTCTGCCAGCACACAGCTCCCCATGGCAACAATGCTACCAATGATGAGCACAGCCCAGGCATGATCCAGGGAGGCAGAGGGCAACCAGGATGCCAGAAGCCAAAACGTGGCTTCACACTCATCAACTCTGGTTTTGGGCCAGTTGCACCTCTCTGAATATCCACTTATGCACAGACTGCCTCAGGGCAAGTCAGAACACAAGGAAAGTATTTATGTGTTTCTGTAGGCCAGGCTGGCCTCAAACTCATAGAGATCCTCCTGCCTCTGTCTCTTGAGTGTTGGGATTAAAGGTTTGCACCACCGTGCCCAAGTAAGAACAGAAAAATGATTCCAAACTACAAGGTGAGGTCACACAGCACTTGCAGGCCCAAGAACATCCCAAAGAACAATTGTGTGAGAGTTCTCGGCACTAGCCTCCTTCATACCACACAGCTACAAGCGAAGAAGCCAGGGACAGGGCTGGAGAGACGGCTCAGCAGTTAAGAGTGGCTGCTCCTCCAGAGGACCTGGGTGCAATTCCCAGCACCCGCATCAAATGGCTCACACACACTTGTAAGTCCAGTTCCAGGGGATCTCTTAGGGCACCTAAATGAATGGAGCGCACATAGACTCGTTCAGGTGCACACACACACACAATGAGCTGTGTACACACACACACACACACACGCACAATGAGCACTCAGTAACTGAGTGCTCAGTGTAAGTTCACTAAGACTGGGCCCCTAGCCTCCGGGGCGAACAAAGGCCAGATGCGCTCTGCAGGCCTTTGAGAGGGAGAAAGAGTGATGTTAAATGAGGAAGTCTTAGCTGGGTGAGGTGGCGCACATCTGCAATCCCAGCACTCATGGAGGCAGAGGCAGGAGGATCTCTGTGAGTTTGAGGCCAGCCTTCAGGATAGCCAAGGCTACGAGAGAAAGCCTGTCTCAAAAAAACCAAAAACCCAAAACCAAAATAAATAAATAATAAACAAACAAACAAGGGATACTTGCAAAGGACTAATGACCCAGAACTTCCATGCCTGCCTGCATTAAGGCTGGTGTTCCTGGAATGCGCTCTCTCGCGCTCTCTCTCTCTCTCTCTCTCTCTCTCTCTCTCTCTCAATATTTACAGCTGAGACATGGCTCAGCAGTTAAGAGCACTTGTTGCTCTTGCAGAGGACCCAGGTTCCTAGCACCCACACGGTGGTTCCCGGCCCAGTTCCAGGGGATCCAACAGGTATATATGTAATAGACAAAACAGTCATTCATTCATGCAGGCAAAACAGTCACACCCATAAAACAAAGATTTCTTTTTTAAACGTGTGAGAGTGTATACCCTACACTACCCCTCCTTCCTCCTCCCTTCAAAGGCCAGAAGAGGGCATCGGCTCCTCCTGGATCTGAGGTTACAGGTACTTTATGAGCTGACCTTGGGTCCTCCGAGAGAGGAGTGCTCTTAACCACTGAGCCATCTCTTCAGCTGCTGGAGCAGGGTTTTTCAGTTCTCACCATCCATTGATACACCCTAAGAATCAGCAGAACACTGGTCTACATCTTGACAGCTGTATTGCTTTCATTGTATGTAAACTCGAGTATGCTGAAGTGTTCAGAGGGGAAGAGCTGCTTAAAATTTACTTTGAAATGTATCCAAACATAAAACACTCAAAAAGCTTACCAGTGAGAAATTAACGCAAACTTAAAAAAAAAAAAAAAAAGCCAGGTATGGCACAAGCCTGTAGTCCTTTCAGCTATTCAAGAGGCTGAGCAGGGAGGATCACTTGAGCCAGGAGTTAAGGGCTAGTCTGGGCGATACGGCAAGACATCCCTTGCAATAAACAGCCTCGGCTAGCCTCAAATTTGTTGTGCAGCCAAGAATAACCTTGAACTTGTTATCCTTCTGCCTCTACCACCACTGTGCTCAGTTAATGTGGTGCTGGGATCAAACCCCGGGTCTTGTGTAGCCTAGGAACGTGTTCTACCCGCTTAGCTACATCTCAGGCCCTCTCGTACTATTCTGTTATCCAAGGAAGCCACATCGGAAGTCTGGGATGGTTTTTGTGAGCCACTGGAGAAAGCGGGAGCATTATCCCAGATACCCCAACCCTCCTGACAGAGGCTCCAGATATGCTACAGGCCAGCCAGCCTAAACCTACCTCATGGGTTAGCCTGAGCAAAACCAGAGAGATGGTCCAATCAGCCATGGAGCTATGAACAATATCAGGAAAGCGCTGAGGAGGCCGAGGCAGGCGGATAACAAGTTCAAGAACATGCAGGGCCACATGGTGCCCTCAAATCAAAGAAAGAAAAGAATCCCAGGTACACTGACTGACACAACAATCCACTTAAGAGGCTGAGGCAGGAGGATTGTCTTGAGGCCACCCTGGGCTACATAGGGGGTTCTAGGCGAGCCTGGGCTACAGAATAAATCCCTATCTACACAAACAAAAGAAGAAAGGGGAAGGATAGAAGGGGAGAGGGAGGAAAGAGAGAAAAAAAGTCCTATTTATTTTAACTAAAGTTCAATTAAACGTTAGAGTGTTGTGTCACCAAGAACAGGATAGTAAAGCAAAGGAGATCTAAAATGTAGTCCGTCACTCAGTACCCCCATAGGACAACACACATCACACACGCACACACAACCAAGGTCCATTCACAGCAGTCTCTTCATGGCAGATCTATCAAGACAGCTACAGATTCCCCAGGGCTCTGAGCCCTGGGCAGAAGGACCATGAGTTTGCATCTGGGTGTCTCCCCTAGGTGCCCTCTGAAGGTCCCTCGCTCAGACCTACGGCCTATTAACACAGCAGCATCCCTGCTGAGAACTGTCACACTCCTGCCATTGTTGAGTTCCTGTCCTGGTTGGGTCTGTGGTTGTTTTGTTTTGTTTTTGGCCAACTTGACACAAATGTAGACATACCTGGGAAGAGGGAACCTCAACTGAGATAATGCCTCCATCTAGATTGGCTGTAGGTATATCTGTGGGGAATTTCCTTCCCAGCCCGTGGGGGCAGTGCCATCCTTGGGCTGGTGGTCCTGGGCTCTGTAAGAAAGCAGGCTGAGCAGGCCATGAGGAGCAAGCCAGCGAGCAGCGCCCCTCCAAGCCCTCTGCACCAGCTCCTCCTACAGGTTCCTGTCCTGTCTGCGTCCCTGTCCTGACTCCCTCAGTGAGGCAGTGTGACCTGAGAGTCACACTGAAATAAACCCTTTCCTCCCCAAGCTCTCGGTCATGGCCTTTATCACAGCGCTGACTAAGGCAGCTCCCAACGGTGGCATAGCCCTTGGCTAAGAACTCCAGCGCTGGGTATGGCCTCAGTGTCTGCCAGAGCCACCCCCTTGGGGAACCGGTGCTCCACCTCGGGTCCATGTGTCCTAGGCAAGTGCTCTACCGTGGAGCCACGTCCCAGCCTCTGTCGTCCCCTTTCGGCATTTGGTAAAGCCTAGGAACCCCTTCTCAGAACATTTGCTTAAACATATACATTACTTGAGAAATGCTTAAATCAAATATGCAGGTTTATGACAATAACATTGGTTTTCCGTTGCCGCTACAGGAGATCACTGTAAACAGCAGCTACCTGTCAGGTCAGGAGAAACTTGGGACAAATGGCAACTGTGCTGCCTGTTGGCATACCAAAGTGCATGCCAGCCTCCAGCTTCCCTCAGCACCGCCAAGAACCTGCTACCGAGTCCATGCTGGCATCCTGGCTGCCCCAGCCTCTGCGTCCTATATAATCCTGCCATTCCAGCCACGTGCTCGTGTTCTCTTGGCTCTCTCTTGGTTCTCTTGATCTCTTTTGTCCTCTCTCTCGCTCACTCTCTCACCTTCCTCTCCCCTTCCCTGGTCCATGGCCCAGGTCAGTCTACTTGCTGTGTTCGGTCCACTACTTTCTCTCCCTGCTCTGGGCTCTTCCGGAGGCATCTCGACTCTACACTAAAACCTTCCCCTCTACCCTACCTTAGAGCGGTTATGCCTTCAACGTTACACATCTGGGGCCCAAACCCCACTTTATACACAGCTTTCTTTGTCTAATTTGGTTTGTTTTTTTAAGACAGGCGCTCAATAGGTAGCTCAAACTGGCTTATAACTTCTAATCTTCCTGTCTCTGCCTCCAGAGAGCTGGGGTTACAGGTACATGTTACCATGTCCAGACAGATGTATTCACATGCACTTCTGGGCCTGGAGACACAGCTCGGCGCTGTAGTCACTTGCAGCCAACCGACAATCTGCATTTGATGCCCAGATCCCTCCCACACAGTGGGAGAACAGAACCAACTTCTGCTAGCTGCCCCCCCTTACTCTTTTTCTCTCTCCCCTCTTCCTCCCCTCTCTCACACACTACAATTTTTAAAATTAAAGGATGCCTAAAATGGGTGAGCAGGGCACATTTCTTCTATCGGCCTGGAGAGAAGGTCGGGCTATGGTTACAAGAGTTACAAACAGTTGTGAACTGTGGGTGCTGGGAACGGACCTTGCAGACAGAGCCTCCTTTGCCAGCCCTTCTCTGCCTCCTCTCTTTCCCTGTGTGAACTCCTGTGATCACGAGGGGCCCATGTGAGGCCGGAAGTGGTGGAGCATGCCTTTAATCCCAGCATTTGGGAGGTAGAGGCAGGTGCATCACTGTGAGTTCAAGGCTAGCCTGGTCTACAAAATGAGTCCAGGACAACCAAGGCTATACAGAGAAACCCTGCCTAGAAAAGCCAAACCAAACCAAACAAACAAACAAAAACAAAAACAAACAAAAAACCAAGGGGCCCATGTGGCCCATAAATTAGAAAGAAAAGCAAACTTCACACTTCAAGATCTATAACCTCATTTACAAAATTCCTTTTGTCATATTAGATTCTGGGAATTCCTAGATCTGAGTTAAGTTAGACATCTTTTGGGGGATGCTTGGCACCATGAAAGGAAACCGATTTTGACTAAGAATAGGCCTCAGTAGGTGGAGTGATAGCTGAGCATGCACAAAGCCCCGGTTCCATCCCTGGCACAGGACAAACACGATGTAATGGCATGCCCCGGAATCCCGAACGCAGATGGTAGAGGCAAGAGCATCAAGGTCATCCTCCGCTCTCTAACGAGTTCAAGGGCAGCCTGGGTTGTATGAATCCCAGTGGAGGGGATTCCAGGCACCCAGCTTTGTGGGACCCTGCTCCCCGAAGTCACCCACACACCCAGGGCCAAGGGCGAGCAGGTTCCTAAAGGTAACACCCACAGAGCCTGAGGGGTCACCCCCACTACTGCTCTTGCTTCTCGACCACTTTGAGGTGGGTAGGCACACCCCCATTTCCAAATGGAAAACAGGCTTTGGTGATAGAGTAACCACACCAGGTGTAAGAGTTGGTATCAGGGTTCTGATCCTTCCATCCGCCACCCTGAGGATGAAGAGGGCAGAGCCTGGCAGGAGGCCTGCCTCTGCTCAGCTTCCTAACTGCCCAGTGGGGTGTTGGGCAGATCCCTATCTGTAAATATGGAAACCAGCTGGCCAGACAGCTGGAGAATTTCCAGCCCAGGACAGGGAGGGGTAGAACAGCCAGACGAGAGACAAGTGCCTGATGAAAACTCTCCTGCCCTTTCTCAGTCTAGGAGGGTCTCTGCTCTGTAGGAGCTGCAAGGTTGCAGAGGGGCAGGCAAGCTGCCACAGGCAGAAGCAGGTGGGGAACAGAGGGGAGAAGCGGGAAGGCAGAGGGGTTGGGGCTGCCAGTTGAGGCCTTACCTTGCTCTCACAGTGAACCTTGGCCCCAGCATTGACCAGGATCTGCACAATCTGCAAGTGGCCGAACCAGGCAGACAGGAGAAGCGCATTCATCCCAAACTAGGGGAGAAGGCACAGGGAAGTGAGGAGAAGGGGAGGAGACAGAGGCGTGGCTGTGGCCACACAGGCCAAACTATCCATCTATCGGTACAGCTCAGTTCAGAGAGCCCTAAGTTTTAGGCACTTAAAAACCAGAAAGCTGGTGCTGGAAAGATGGCTCAGAGGTTAAGAGCACTGGCTGCCCTTGAAAATGGTCCAGAGTTCAATTCCCAGTAACCACCTAGTGGCTCATAAGCATCTATAATGAGATCTGGTGCCCTCTTCTGGCATGTAGGTGTACATGCAGGGAGAGTACTGTGTAAATAAATATATTTTTAAAAAACAGAAAGTTTTGCTTTTTAAGATATTTATTTATTTTATTTTATATGTGTGAGGGTTTTGCCTGTATATGTGTATGCATACTGCATGTATGCCTGTTGCCATAGGAGGCCAGAGGAAGGTATCAGATCCTCTGGAGCTGGAGTTACAGATGGTTGTGAGCCGCCATGTGGGTTCTAGGTATCAAACCTGGGTCCTGTAAGAGCAACAAGTGCTCTAAACCCCTGAGCAACCTCTGCAGCCCCAGTTTTGCTGTTATTAAAATAGAGACTGATACAGGATCGGAAACTCGCTTTTGCTGGATAAAAACCTAAAAATAAAAAAGGCACCATCTGCTCTCACGGCCACTTCAACAGAAAGACCATTTAAAATGAAATGTTTGGAGGGAACACATCTCAGGTTTGTTTGGAATCTTTTGTTTTGTTTTTTTGTTTTGTTTTTGAGATAGGTTCACATGTAGTCGAGCTTAGCCTCAAACTAGGAGGCAAAGGATGACTTTGAACTCCTCATCCTCCTGTCTGCACCTCTCAATTGCTGGAACCAAAGGTGTGCGCCACCACACCCAGCTCATATTTATTGTGTGTGCTCGCAGCAGAGCACTGTGAGGGTGAAAGAGAACCCTGCACTTCGCTCTTTCCTTCAAGGGCTGAGTGACTGAGTTTAGCTTTCCAGGCTTGCATGGCACCTGCCCTTACCCCCTAGGCCATCTCACCGGCCTTATTTTGAGTCAGGGACCCACGATATAGCCCTGATGGTCTGGAACTCACCATGTGACCAGGCTGACTTCAAACCCACAGAGATTGTCTCCCTCTGCCTTCTAAGTGTTGGGGTTAAAGGTTTGTCACATAACGCCCAGTGCTTTTTATTATATATTTAGTTAGTTTACATTTAGTTTGGGGCCTACGTGTGTAACTCAGCTGGTACAGTACTTGCCTAGCATGTGTGAGGTCCTGCTTGCAATCCCCAGTGCCCTATAAACTGGGCATGGTGGTACACGCCTGTAGTCCCCAAACTTCAGAGCATTCAGGCAGTGAGGGCAGAAAGAACAGAAGTTCAAGGTTGTCTTTGAGTTTGAGGCCAGCCTGGGCTCCCTGAGACCTTCTCTCTCTTCTCTCTATATATACTTTTCCTTTTTCTTTCTTCTCTCCTCCCTCCCATTTATCCCCGTGTTGGGGATAAAACCCAGGATTGCTGGACTTCCACTGCACAGCTGAGCCATTCTCTAGCCTCAAGCGTCCATTCTTTTTTTTTTAGATTTATTTATTTATTATGTATACAATGTTCTGTCTTCATGTACACCTGCATCAGAAGATGGCAACAGATCTCACAGATGGTTGTGAGCCACCATGGGCTTGCTAGGAATTGAACTCCGGACCTCTGGAAGAACAGCCAGTGCTCTTAACCTCTGAGCCATCTATCTCTCCAGCCCCTGAGTGTCCATTCTTAAGTATATCTGTATCGAATGTCACTTTCAGATTCTGCCCTCTACAGCTGAGGAGGCAATTCTGGAGAGCCTCTCTTTGGGGCTCCCTCCCTTTCATGCAGATGCCATCTAACCATTTGCCCAATCTGTGCCAGGACATGGTTTCTTAGCAAGTTGCCTGTTCAGGTGACCACCAGGGCAGAACCTCATGGCAGCCTATCACAAGAGACCATCTGCTTGGGCCCTTTACTAAGCAGGCCATTATTGATCCACATGATTATATGTTCTGTGGCTTACTAATCTCCCTCATCACGTGGTATCATGAAGGACTGAAAAAGTTCCCAGAACTGAAAGGCCATTGATACTAAAGAGCACTTTCGTCCTGTGCCAGAGAAAAGGGTACAATACTTGCCTAGTATCATGGTCCAGTATCACTGGACCTAAGACTGAGCTGGGCCCAGCCTTTACCTAAGCATCTGCACATTACTGGCAATCTTGCCAATGACAACTGCTCAAAGACATCTAGGATGTCCTTGCCCCTGAGACAGACAGACAGACAGACCCCTCCCTACCGAGTCCGCGTCGTCCACAGCAGCCCCATGCTCCAGGAGCAGCCGTACAGCCTGCTCGTGCCCAGCACCTGCAGCCCAGTGCAAGGCCACTCTTCCCACCTGCCAGGGGGAGAGGAAACTTGTCACTATGCCCAGATGTCTGGCCTGCCCCGGCACCCTCCCTACAAGACAGCTGGCCTGCAAGAGGAAGGGCTGTTGGTGGCTCTGGTAACTAGCTGGGTGGGGACTGAGCCTTTCTTGAGGTTCCTTCTCCCTGACATGGTACAAATGTCAAAAGATACACTGACTGGGCCCATCTGTCCCTGCCTGAGACTCTTCACAGCTTCCCACTGCTCTTGGGGCAAATGCCTGAGCCTGGGCCTACAAGACCCTGTGTGGCCTGGCACTGCCCACCCCTCCCTCCTTCTCAGAGGGGCCAGATGGTTTCCAGCAACAAATCTTTCTTCCTACTGGGAAGCCACATGTGACCTAGGACAGCTCTCTAAGTCCCCCAGGGAAAGGGAGTATCTGGTTCTTCCCTCACAATGAGCTGAAAGAGGCCTGGCCGTCTGGCTCACTCTCCACCACCCTGGGAGTTCATCCTGGTTGCTGGGCCCCAGTCCATGTGAGCAGCCTGGGCCATAGGCCTCCCTCAGTGTAGAGACCTTCTCTACCACCTCAGCTTATGAGAGGCAGCAAATGGAAGTGCTGCTTTTCTGTGTGATGTCCGGAGACCAGCTCTGCCTTCCTCAGGGCTTCTGCCACACCATTCCCTTTGCCTGAAACACTGGCCTTCATCTCACTCCATGGAAGCTTTCTGCGAGACCGCCAGGTGTGACAAAGCCCTCGGACCCCTCCCTGTGCCTATAGGACAGTGTATCGCAGTCGGAGTGAGATAGTTGGCTTGCTGTCCTTGCTACCCTCGCCAAACTCCATGAATACAGGGACCACAGCTGTCATGGGTTCTGTGCTGTTCAAGCACCCTGCATAGAGTATTCCCTGAATAAACTCCTAGTGAATGAGTGAATAAGCCAGTGCGCAGGAGACAATGCACTTAGTGAACGAAGACACCAATGAATGTGTGAGTAAATATAATTAGTGACTTAGATGGATAACTGGATGGATGGATGGATGGATGGATGGACGGACGGACAGACAGACAAAGCACTGTCATCCTTCAAGTACTTACTTGTTCAGGAGCTGAGACCAAAGCTTCAATCACCAACCACACGCTGCCTCTGCCCCATTGCACCTGCCTTGAACTACACACAGAGTCAATACACCTACTCTCTGACTCTCTCCAAAGCCGGGTGGCAGCTGCCAAGAAGCTGGTGGGAAGTGCTCTGAAAACCAGAACATCTCACACACACTCATAATTCTTCGTTGTTGTTGGATTTTGTTTTGTTTTCAGGACAGGGTTTCTCTGTGCCTCCTGGCTGTCCTGGACTCACTTTGTAGATGAGATTGGTCTCAAACTCACAGAGATCTGCCTCTGAGTGCTGGGATTAAAGGTATGTGCCACCGTACACGCTCGTAATTCTTTTTGCTATTCCTACTCCTCCCAAGCCGGCTCTGAAGACTGATAGCATACCCCTGTCCCGTCACCTCTGACAGCGCACCGTCTGCTGCCGTCAAGGAGTCTGCACTCAGTGCCTGCTAACCAAGCCCTGGTTTATCCTCCAGGAAGTCCATCGGAGTCAGATGGGGGCCACCTGCATGGATCTGGGCCCATCTTCAGTATCCACTTAGAAGGCACACTTCTTCCATGGACACTAAGGCTTCCCTGTCCAACTCTTAGACTACCAGAATGGACCTGTGCCTCTTTTCATACACAGTGGGAATAGCTGGTGTTAAGAAAGCTGCCCCCAGCTGCTGCCTAACACACATTCTCCAGAGCCTGGAGGCTGGTCCCTTGTGGTCCCCAGAGTCCCGCCCACTACACCTCCCCACTTTTGTGTCTTAGATGGGCCACACAGGTTCCAAGTCTGAGCTCTGGAATTGCCAACGCCTGGCTTGGAATCCTGATGCTTAGGCTGGTTCAGGTAATGGAGACACAGCATGGGCCTCCCCACAAGTCAATGCACACAGACGCCCCTCCCCTGACAGGGTGGCAGCGCTGCCCGGTGCTCATACTCACGTGGTTTCCAGCCCTGACGTTAACCCTCTTCTCAAACAGCTCCTTCATCCTCCCCACCCGGTTCCAGCGTGAGGCCTCATGCAGCTGTCTCTCCAGGGGAAGCACTGGGGAGAAAGGGGGATTCGGGATGAGAAGAAGGGACCCCACACTCTTAGAGATGTGCGTGGAGACAGCTGGACCGCGTTCCCACTGGAGTGGGTGGCCACCTTTGCTCAGACTCAACCACTGGAGAAGACAGCGAGGACTTACTGTGCCAAACCGAGGAAGGCCAGGGTGGCGTCTCCCTTTTCAGACCCTCTTACTCCTTGTTTCTCCACCTTTCCTCTCCTCGTGCCTTAGCTCTAACCCTTCTACCTCCACATCTGGGGCCCACTCTGCACTGCCTGGCTGGAAGACTCCCATCTCCATATTCTTTCTCTCTCCTCAAAGCACCTTCAGGGCACAAGGAGACGGCTTAGTTAAAGCACTTGCCTTGCAGATGTGAGCACCTGAGCTAGCGGGTTCAGATCCCTAGAACCCTATTTAAAAAAAAAAAAAAAAAAAGACTGGCAAGATGGGTGGAAGGGTCACATGAGCACCCTGGTAAAATAGCTGCACATACACAACATAAATACATAAACATGTACTTTGAAAGACGGGTCAACAGTTAAGAGCTCTTACAGCTCTTTCAGGGGATCTGAGTTCAGTTCCCAGCACCCATATTGGGCGGCTCACATCGCGCATCACTCTAGCTTCAGGGATTAACACTTCCTCTGGGTCTTCAGGGACCTACCCGTGCACGTATTCACACACAGACAGACACACGCATACAAATAAAAATAAACAAAACCTCAAAAAGAGGGGGAGGAAGGGGATAGTGAGATGGCTCACCCGGTAAGGACATTTACCAGCAAAGCTGACAGCCGGAGCTCAATCCCCAAGACCCAACTCACGTAGTGAAAGGAAAGAACTGATTCCAAACGCTGTGCTTTCATGAGTGTCTGTGCACGCGAGCACGCACGCACGCGTGCACACACACACACACACACACACACAAATGCATGCTCACTAAGAAAATGTAAAAAAGAGCTCAAGATGGCTCAGTAGGTGAAGGTGCTTACCAGGCAAGCCTGAGGACATGAGTTTGAGTCCCAGAGCCCATGGGAAGAGCCAGATGTGGTGAAGCACATCTGTCATTTTGGCATTAGCTAGGAGGCGGACACTGGAGACCTGCCCAGAACCTTGCAGGTCAGCTAGTTTGGAGTATGCCCCACAGTTTGGCAGAAACAGCAAAAGAGACACCGCCTCAAAAACAATGTGGAAGGAAAGACTCGCTCAACTCCTGAGAGTTGTCCTCTGACCTCCACACGTGAGCCTAGTCATTGTGCAGCCAGGGACAGACGGCCAGTGTCTTGGCAGGAGAGCATGCACTGAAGTGACAGAGTTAGAAAGAAAACCTTCGCTCTTCCATGCACTCCCCCACACACACTCCCAGCCTGCACAAACGCGCACCAGGCTCTCTGACGCCTGAGATTTATCAGCGTTGGCTTCTCTGCCCAGAATCACACACTCTCACCACTCCACTGCGCTCTCTGTTTGGGAGAACCTTGACCCAGCAGAACTGTGATCCCTCTAAGCTAATCAGCGCCTTGCTGGGTGTAGTGACGCTCCGATAATCCCAGCACTTAGGAGATGAAGGAGGATCAGGAGTTGGAGGACAGCAGCAGCTACTTAGCAAGCTGAAATCCAGTGGTGGCTACATGAGACCCTGTCGCATGAAAAGGTAGGGGTCGGGGCACATCCTAGAGAGATGGCTCAGGGTTTGAGTGCAGTTGCTGCTCCTTCAGAGGAACTGAGTTTGGTTCCCAGCATCCACGTCTGGCTTCTTCCAGTACACACACACACACACACACACACACACACACAAATTAAAAATAACAAAGTAAGGCATGTGCCTTTAATCCCAGAACTCAGGGGCAGAGCTAGGCAAAACTACACCCTGGTCTAAATAGTAAGCTCCAGGACAGCCAGGAGTACACAGTGAGAATATGTCAACAGTAGTAGTAGTAATTTTAAAATAAAATAAAAACTTAAAAAGCCACATATAGGCTCAGTGGAGCCCAGTGTGCATTTCTCACTCACCCAGGCAGATGGTAACGTCTGGCTTCAGCGTTTTGCAATTCAGTGTGCAGGACTATGGGATTTGGAAAAGCACCCCAGGTTCAATGGCCAGGGCTCAGCCTGGACAGCAAGACCAAGAATTCTCAAAGGAGGTGATAGCTCAGTCCTCTTCCTCTCCCAGGCAGGTGTCCCAGGACAGCTGAGGCCCGCAAGCATGCGTCCCCCACATTCAGGGGTCCTGGGTCTGGGGACATTCTGGAAGAGGCTCTGAAGTTCCTCACTCAGGACTGGGGCTGACCACAGAATCTCTTTTTCAGATCCTGGTTTCTCCTTTGATATCTATACCCCATTTTATTCTGGGCAAACTGGGGTGTTTAGGCCTTTGTTTGGGGGGGGGGGGAGTTGACAGGGTCTCATATAGCCCAGGCGGCCTTGGAGTCCCTGTGTAGCCAAGGATGGCAGATGATGTTAAATTTCTGATCCTCCTGCCTCTACGTCCCCAAGGCATGTGCATGTGCCACCGTGCCTAGTTTCACATGGTGCTTGGGATCGAACCGGGGCCCCGTGCATAGCAAACAAACATTCTGCCAGTTGAACTGCATGAGCCCCTATTCCTGATTTCAGCATTTCTACCACTACGTGACCTCACCCTGTCCCTCAGCTTTCTCCTGAAAAATGGAGATGACGGCAGGCCCTACCCACGTGGCCGCGAAGGTGGAAGACCGGCCTGACCCACTTCAAGGCACACAAAGCAACTTAATATCACAGATCGCTGTCGCTCCGGACTTGTCGTGTCCTATACACAGCGGCCGCTGCGCCCTGCGCCTGTGTGACGTTCCTCCGGGAGCCGCAAGGAAGGGCCAGCCTGTGCGGTGGGCCGCCCTCTGTGAACTCGGGGTCCCCCACCGGGCCGCGGTCCCCAGCCCATCCCCGCCGCGCCCACCCGCCGCGGCCCCGGGACTCACAGCCCTGGGTCTCCCAGGTCAGCTCCTCCTCCATCCCGCTGCTCCGCTGGGCGCTTGGGAGAGCGCGGAGGAGCCGGGAGCGCGCAGAGCAGAGCGGGGTGCGGAGTGGGCGGCGAGGCTCATCTCCCCGCCCCCGCCCGCTGTCAGCTCCCCGCACGCAGCTCCCCCGGGACCCTCCCAAGCTTGCTGCCTCGACAGGCCCTCCCACTCTGCGCTCTTCAGACCCCACCACCCCACCAAGTCTGCAGACACCGGACAAGAGCGGTCAGACGCAGCCACCATCATCCAGGGAACATGAGGTATCAGTCACACTGCTTAGAGTGGCCAAAACGAAACGCAAACAAACAAAAAAAAAAAGACAATGACAACAAAACAACGCGGAGAAAGCCGGACGGGGCCAGATGTCAGGGCAGAAGGCGCAGCTGTCCCAGCCACAGTGCTCTTCAGGTGGCTGCAGCCTGAGGCTGGCACTCTGGAATCCAGTGTGGCAGAGGGAGAGAAAGACCCTTTAACCCGAAGGAAGAAAAATACATAAAAACTAAACAAAGTCAAGAGAATTAACCTTGTAAAAATCCCTCCTGGAAAATGAACCACCCTCTGCTGCCTAAGGGTCTAAGAAACTGCTATTCCTTTCTGCACGGAACAGCACTTGCAGCCTTTTTCCTCAGCCGGCTAGTTCCTGGTCATTCTTTTTAGAGACTAGCTGGAGTGTCAAATGCCCAGTGTTAATTGTGCCACCTACACTCTCCACTTCACAGTAGCCGTTAATTGTTAGAGCTTGGCCACAATGTTACAAGGCTGTGACACTCAAATCACACTAGGGTCACTGATCTCCACTTTGAGCCTTTTCCCCTATGAGTCCATACTCAAAAAAACCCCAAAAATTTGCTTTTTTTTTCTCCTTTGCCTATTGTTGTTGTTTGGTTTGTGTGTTTTGTCTTCTTCTGAGACCGAATCTGGCTATGTTGTCCAGGTTGGTCTCTGACACATGGGCTCACGTGGTCTGCCACCTCAGCTTCCCTCTGAATCAAGTGTGTGTAGTCTCCGACCACTGCGCAGGATGCTGGGATACCCATCGCCTCCCCCGGAAGCTCAGAAATTCAGCCAGGCCAAAACTATTGAGCTCGTGGAGGTTTGTTGTTCGCCCTCTTCCTTGCTTCCCTTCCTGCTGTTTCGTTCCTCATTAGATGAACAGAGGCATAACAGGGAGAATGAGGGACGGTTCGTGAAGGCAGCTCCAGCGCTTGTCCTGGATTTTAGCCCCACCCTGCCCTTGCCGGAGCAGGATGCTGACTGGTGGCATATGACCAGAAGTTTCTCTCAGCCCCAAAGGACTGCTCAGAATTGGCCCTGGGGGCGGTGCTAGGCTGTGGGGCCTCCCTCTGGGGCAGATAAATAAAAGACAAAGAGGTGGTTGGGAAGGGTGGGTAAGGGTTTGAGACAAGGTTTCTCTTTGTAGAGAAATGATCTTTGCCCTGCTGAGCTATTCAGAACAAATTAAATCTACTCTACAGAAAAGATAAAAAAATAGCGCCACATAGTAACATTTTTCCACGTTTCAGATTTGACTTTTTTTTAATTAAAAAAATTGATTTTATGAACATGAGTATTTTCCCTGCGTGGAGATATGTGTATACATCATACGCATACCCATCCCAACTGAAGTTAATACAGTTGTGTGCTGCCACCTGGGTGATGGGGAGTCCTCTGTGAGAGCAGCAAGTGCTCTTACTTGCTGAGCCGTCTCTCTGGCCCCAGAATTTGAGTCTTATCTTGCGTTGTTTTTTTTTTTTTTTTTTTTTTTTTTGTTATAGAAAATGACAAAGGTACAAAAAGTAAAGAGAACAAAATTTGAGCCACACAGCCAGCCATCACCCTTCCTTAACGGCTTATGGTCAACTCCCTTTTCCTCCTCCCAAATGATCTGAAAGCAGTTTTTTTAGTTTAAAGATTTGCTTTTCTTCCTTTTAATCATGTGTAGATGTATGCTAGGTTTTTAATTATGCCCTGATGTGTGTGTGTGGGTTATGTGCACAAGTATTCACCCAGGCCAGAGGCATCAGGTCCCGAGAGCTGACTTATAGGCAACTATCAGCCAACTGACACGGGTGCTGGAATTGAACTCAAGTCCTCTGCAAGAATAGTACTCAGGGCTGGAGAGATGGCTCTGAGGTTAAGAGCACTGGCTGCTCTTTAAGAGGACCCAGGTTCAGTTCCCAGCACCGACAGGGCAACTCACAACTGTCTCTAATGTAACACCCTCATACAGATATACCTAATACAGACATACATGCAATACAATAAAAATAAGTAAACCTAAAAATAAAATTTATTTGCTGGGTGATGGTGTCACACTCCTTTAATCCCAGCACTCAGGAGGCAGAGGCAGGCAGATCTCTGAATTTAAGGCCAGCCTGGTCTACAGAGCTAGGTCTAGGACAGAGCCAGGACTACACAGAGAAACCCTGTCTTGAAAAAACGAAAAACAAACAAACAAACCAAGTACTCATCCTTAGCCACTGACCCAGCTCCAGGAAATTCAGTTTTGCTTTGTTTTGTTTTGTATTTGTCTTTAAGACAGGGTCTCACTCATCCCAGGCTGGTCTGGAACTCACTATGTCATCCAGGCTAACCTAAATGAGATTCTCCTGCTTTGGCCTCCAAAATTCTGGAATTACGTATGTGCACTACCCTGCCCAGCAAATTAATAAACATTTTATCTGAATGCCACTGTCTATCTCTATAGATAAAGTGTATTAAAAAAAAAAAAAAAAAGCAGAACCAGGCAGTGTGGCACATGCCTGTAGTCTTAGCGCTCAGAAGGCAGAGGCAGGCAGATATCTGCGAGTTCCAGGCCAGCCTGCTCTACAGAGTGATTTCCAGGAATAGTCAAGGCTACACAGAGAAACCTGGTCTTGAAAAACGAAAGGAAGGAAGGAAGGAAGGAAGGAAGGAAGGAAGGAAGGAAGGAAGGAAGGAAGGCAGCTGAGTAGCCATGGGAAGCTAGGGAGATGGAGCAATGGCTAGGAGCTCTTGCTGCTCTTCCAGAGGACACAGATTTGAATCCAGCACCCACATGGCAGTTCCAGTTCCAAGGGATCCGATGCTCTCTTCTGACCTCCTCCAGCATCAGGCACACTATGGTGCAAAGACATACATTCAGACAACACATCCATTCACATCTGCACAGCTAATTACCAGTCTTTTTTTTTTTTATTTTTGAGATGGAGTTTCTCTGTGTAGACCTGGCTGTCAGGGAACGTGTCCTATAGACCAGGCTGGCCTCTGCCTCCTGAGTGTGCCACAACTGCCCAGCAGGCCTCACTCCTTAAATCAGGAGATATCCAGTCCATGTTCATTTCCTCCAGCTCTCTTACAGGTGCGTGCTTATGTGTTTCCGTATGTGTTTGTGTGCTACAATTTATCTGAATTTATAGCATGAAATTGATTAATTTGACTTTTTATTTTTAATTGGATTTTGTTTTTTTGTGTTTTCTTTTTTATTTAATTATCTTTATTTTGAATTGTGTGTGAGAAAGAGAGGGAGATAGAGAAGAGTGCAGGTACCCATAGAGGCCAGGAAGGGTGTCAGATCCCTTGGGCTGGACTTAGAGGCAGCCATGGACGGCCTGACGTGGGTTCTGGGAACTGAACTCAGATAATCTGCAAGAGCAGTGCACATCCTTGGCTTTTGTTTTTAGGACAAGTCTCCCGGTGTAGCCAGGCTACCTTGAACACTATGTAGTCAAGGCTGACTTTGGATTCATGGCAATCCTCCTGGCTTCACTTCCCTGGTGCTAGATTTACAGGTCTGAATTGCCATCGTTGGTTCATTGTCTTCGTGTGTGTTTGAGTGCATGGGCACTTGTATGTGATTCTGGGGACTAACTCTCAGGTCTCCCATATGCTAGCCTGACAAGCACTGTACCTCTGTGATTTTTTAAATTTTTTTCTTTTCCTTTAAAGATTTTTAAATTTGCCCAGCCGTGGTGGTGTACACCTTTAATCCCAGCACATGGAAGGCAGAGGCAGGTGGGTTTCTGTGAGTTTGAGGCCAGCCTGGCCTATAGAGCAAGAGAGCCAGGTTTACATAGAGAAACCCTGTCTCAAAGAAAAAAATTTTTAAAGAAATTAAAAACAAATTTTGAATGTATGTGTATGTATCTCTATGGGCATACATCCATGCCTGTCGGAGCCTTCGGAAGCCAGATGAAGAAGGCACTGAACTCAGGTCCTCTGCAAGAGCAGCAATGCTCTTAACTGCTGATCCATTTCTTCAGCCTCCACATTTCAAACTACAGAGACGGGGTCTCACTAGGCAGCCCTGGCTGGCCTGGAACTGGCTGTGTAGACTGCCCTGGACTTGAACTCACAGAGATCCATCTGCCTCTGCCTCTCTAGTGCTGGAATTAAAAGTGTGGGCCACCAAACTGCCTACAACATATTTAGCTAAGACACTGTAGTAGTACCAATTCACAAGGCACAGTGGGCACCTCAACAGATGTAGGCATCGTGCCATGATCCGATCAGGGGCCCTGTAAACCCTCACCTCAGACACTGATCATTTCCTTGTGCTAAAATGTTCAAAATCCCTGTGAGTTGACATTTTCAGTTTATTTATAGATGTCCTACTGTGCTACAGAACATTACAATTCATGGCTTCCATCTGATATGTGTGTATGTACATGTATAATCCTAGTGCTCAGGATTCAGAGGGGAGGCTGGGCGCCACGGCAAGTTCTGGGTCTGGCTTCATGGTAAGACCTTGCCTCAATAAAGCTATCAATAAATGGATGAATAAATAAATAGATAGATGATAGATAGATAGATAGATAAATTTCCCTATCAAACTGCATCCCTAACCATCTGCACCATTAAGCATTTTCTTTTATATCTTCCTCTTCATGGCCTCTCTAGACTGTAGGAACCACTATTTATTTATTTACTTACTTACTCATTCATTCATTCATTCATTCATTCATTCATTCATTCATTTTTGAGACAGGGTTTTTCTGTGTAGCTTAGCTGACCTGGACTCACTCTGTAGACCAGGCTGGCCTTGAACTCACAGAGATCCCCCTGCCTCTGCCTCCCAGAGTGCTGGAA